GGGGTGGTGGGGGTGGGTGACAGAACATCTTTCTTCTCACCCCCTTTCCCTTCTCCTATTTATTTTGAGTTTCCTTATCTCTAATCATAACTCTGGTCATCTGAAGAAGTGGGCTGTGCCCACAAAAGCTTATGATAACATCTACATGTTTTGTTAGTCTATAAAGTGCTACCAGACCATTTGTTTGCTGTTGTTTTTTTCTGTAACAGATTAACTCGGCTACTCCCTGAAGATCTTGTAACTTAACATGCTTCCATAAGGGGTTTCAGATACTAAGGAGACAAGATCTATATAAAAAGCTTAATAGTGTAGCACCTTTCTGCATTTCATGAATAAAGAGTTGGGGTGGTGGATGGTGTAACTCCGATTGCTCTGCCTCTGCAGTTAGCCTCCCTACATCCAAGCCAACTGCTAACACATTGATGATCTCATTAAGGAAGACAAGGAAAACAACCATCCTGTGTCTTCCTCCCTTTCATCTGTACTGGCACAGCATTGTGGCAACTGTTCTCTTTTCTGTAGAACAGTCTGTGCTGCCGGTACTGTGGTTCTGTGGAAAGGGTCAATATCTCAACTGTCTCCTGTTAAAGGTCCCAGAATGAGACGAGCCTGAGAACAGTGAAAATGCAAGGAGGGTGTGTGTTTTGTTCTAAAATGACACTTAGTTCCTCAGGAAAGAGGTATAGGTCATAGCAGCCCTTTCTGAATAGCTCTAATAAAGTGCTTGTATTTATCCTCAGCAGTGACTTGAAGCTTCTGGTTTTTGGCCTGTTTTTGCTAAAAGATTAACCCCTCTCCCCTTATCAAACTCTTGGTTGTATCATTGTGGTAAAAGTAAACCAGAAAAGACAGGGTTGCTTTGTGTGTGTTTGTGTGTTTTCCCTTTCCTTGGGCTGCCCTGATCCTTATCTCAGTTGCAGGACTTGAGCCTGGCAATTGTGGTTTTACCACTAGTGGTACTGAACTGATTTCTCTCTCTCTTTCTGAACTGGAGAGTACAAAGTGCTCTCTTCAGGCTGATAAGAAAATTGTGCCCTTGCCAAAGGAAAGGCAACTAGCTGGTGCTGTGACCCATTTTGGAAGGGGGGGGGGCCTCTGAGTGTGTTTTAAATGGTTGACTCTCCTGCTTGGTATAAGGGAATGGTCTGTGCTTTGTGTAGTAAATGGAGTGGTTGTCTTTCACACAGGAGAAAGGCGCCCTGGGCTTTGAGCGGCACTATCATGTCACTGACCCATTCATCCGACGTCTGGGCCTCGAAGCAGAGTTGCAGGTGAGGGGACAGCAGAAGAGCAAAATTACCTACCTGTGCCACATTAAACTGCATAACACCCACTAATCTGAGCCCTGTAGACTTATAAACTTTTAAGAGTGCTGGTTTGTCTTCTCAGCATGCAGCACTTCTGGCACAGTGCTAGTCAGCAACAGTGTAATAAGTTAGTGTCTGTGCATTTTATAACACTAGCTGCCTGGAACCAATCCTAGTCATAGATGTCTTGACATGGGCAAACCTCTCCTAGCTAAGCCTGAGGGCCTGACTACTTCTTCCTATGATGCTTGTGACTGCAGTAAGTTTCTTAGAGACTGACGCATGAATTGTCACCCTGCAGTCTGGTACTCCCAGTACAAATTGAAAGTGTGTTTGTCTTCACGTTGGTACAAATTCAGTTTTTTCCCTTCCATGCCCCTCTTCAACACCATTTTCCTCTCTTCCTCCTCCCCCCCCCTCCGCCCTCCAACCTCCCAGAAAGTTCACTGGGCACTCCAACAGTTTATCTTCTAGTCATTTGTTAGATGTGCAATATACTTTCAGCCTAGTTACCCAGTGCAAGGTGCTTCTCAGCCGGTGGCAATGAAAGTGCACTTTCCTTCAATGCCCCCCAGTGTCTGTGCACATGATTCTCAGTGTAGCCAAGAGCTTTTGAAAGACACTGTTCCTTGCATGCAGCAGTATCTCTGTATTAGCGGCTAAGGCAGAGCTGCTATTGGATCAAGTTGTAAAGGTGGTATTTTCCCCAACAAACTAGAGCATGCCTTTCTTGGAGGTGCTTGTCTGAGGGGTGTCTGACACTGAAGGCTGCTTGTATCAGATTATGTGGGGAGCTTGCGGTGTCCTTGTCTTTAATAGTACTGCTTGATAAGTCTGCAGTTGATAACGTTCTCTCCCCTTCTTTGCGCAGGGTCACTCTGGATGCGTCAACTGTCTAGAATGGAATGAGAAAGGAGAGTAAGTATGTCTCGATTCAGGGGTGGAGGAACTGACAGCCCCAGGCTCTCCCATCAGTGGGCTGTGGATCATATCAGAAGAGGTCACTTCATTTATTTTACTGGAAAGAGGAAGGTTCAGGCTATAAGTCTTGAACTATAGTAGAATCCCGGTTTTGCAACTGAGGCTTGTTCTGCTGGCTGTATATGAAAATGCTTCTCTTGTAACAGAAACTAGGACTGGTAGGAAGTGAAGGATCTTCTTGGAGGGTTAGGGTCTTGTTTTTTTTCATCCTGTTGTGGCACAGGTGGGGATTTGCATCCTTGTATGGGGCTGCAGTGGTGGCCTTTTTTTCTTTCCTGTGTTGTAATCCAAGTCCTTCTCTGGTGGGGAAGCAGAGTGCAGGGGAGAGGGCTGAAGAACGTGAGAACATAAGCATGGCCATACTGGGTCAGATCAATGATCCATCTAGCCCAGTATCCTGTCAGCCAACAGTGGCCAATACCAGATGCCCCAGAGGGAGGGAACACAACAGGTAATCCTCATGTGATCCCTCTCCTGTTGCCCATTTACAGACCGAGGTTAGGGTCACCATTCCTACCTGTCCTGGTTAATAGTCATTGATAGACCTAACCTCCATGAATCTGTCTAGCTCTCTTTTTGAACTCTGTCCCTCTGACCATCTGATATCCATCTGAAGAGTCCCTCTATCCATCTGATAACCTCCTTTGCACTATTTTAAGATAAAGCATTTGTGTTTAATACCTAGTGCAAGTGAAGTAAGCCATATCCACCTGGGAAACTCATGTTAGGGAGAGTCTTTACTGTGGTTGTGGCCTCTGGTTTTCACCCAAATCCATAATTCAGTGGAAGCTTCATGTACTTGAGGAAGGAATTTGGCATTTGTGATCAGACAGCAGTTCCAACCTGTTCTGTGCCTCTTCAACTGAAATACACCTTTTCTGCCATTTAATGCTTATGAATCACTGCACAGATTCTGGTATGGGGCACATTTGAGGACCTGTTGTGAAGGACAGAATGTGGGCTCACAGGCTGATTGGCTGAGAAGCTAATCACAGTTGGGTGTAGAGCAATGTTTATAACCCTCTCCTGTCTTTGGTTTTTTCAGCTTGCTGGCTTCTGGTTCTGATGACCAGCACACCATTGTCTGGGATCCCCTGCATCACAAGAAGCTTCTTTCTATGCACACGGGGCATACTGCAAATATCTTCTCTGTCAAGGTGAGTGGGGCCCCAGGTGTTTGAAAATGAGAACTGGAAGGAGGACACAGCTAGATGGGTCTCCGTTTTGATGACATACATTAAAATAACTTCACTAAAAAGAAAATGGACTTGTTTTTAAAACATTGCTAGGGGAATGCTTTTCCATAAGCAAATCCTCCAAAGAGCACTCTAAAATATTTTAAGACTTACGGTATTAGGGAACGATGCATGAGATGTTGTATTATGCGTCTCAGTCTCTGTTTGGGCCACATATATACATAGAAATTAAAAGCTTCAGCGGGTAGCTGAGTTAGTCTTTAAAGTGCTACCAGACTATATGTTGTTCTTTAAGTTGTAGATGATATCATGAGCTTTCGTGGGCACAGCCCACTTTTTCAGATGACCAGAGTGGTGGATGTCCAGAACTAAAATAAATAGGGGAGGAAGAGAGAAGAGGCAGTGGGTATAAAAATATCAAGGGAAAAGCAGAGCTGGAATGTAACAGGAAAAAAAATAGTCTATAAGCACCTAAAGACCGGATAGTCAAAAATGGCAGATAAGAACTATTACTAGGCAGTTAGAGAGAGGGAGTATTAACATCAGATACTATACAGACAAAGAACCATTGGCACCTTCATTGTTTGGTAGGTTGATGATGTCCCAGCCATCTGGTACCTTTATTTAAACCATTAGCATGAGTATCAAGCATGTGAATGAATTGTAGTTCCAGTCCTTCCCTGTGTATTTGGCTTGTGGAATTGGTCTGTAACAAAACAGCCACTTGAAGATCTGTTAATGAATGCCTACGCAGATTGAAGTGTTCCCCAACAGGTTTTTATGTTTCCTTTATGGATATCTGATTTGTGTCTATTAATTCTTTCCCATACGGACTGTCCAGTTTGTCTATATAGATCCTGTAGGTCAGTGGTCCCCAACCATTGGAGGTTGCCAGGCGCCAGGGGGCATGGCCGTTCGCCCGCCAGGTGCCAGAGGGCGGGGACACTTGCGTGCCCGGGGTGGGGGCGCCCCCCCCAAGGGCCGCGCACCTGGGGCTGGAGCTCCCTCGGGGCTGGCGCCCCCTCCAAGTGGCGCTCCCGGGGCCGGCGCTCACCGTGCGCGCGAGGCCAGCTCCGGCACCATACATGCGCCACGTGCCCTGGGCCAGGCCAGCCCTGAGCACTTGGCGGGCGCACACAAATGCCCCCGCGGGCTCCATGGCGCCCATGGGCACCGTGTTGGGGACCACTGCTGCAGGTGTTTGTCTCTGTTTGTGGGATTGGAGCAAATCGGGTTGTGTTTTAGGGCTTGGCTGTAGACAATAGATTGAGAAATGTGTCTGGGATGGAAGCTGGAGACATGAAGGTAAGTGTAACGGTCAGTGGGTTTCCGGTATAGGGTGGTGGAAATGTGTCCACTATTTAATTGTACTGTAGTGTCCAGGAAGTGTATTTCCTGTGTGGACTGGTCTAGGCTGAGGTGGTTGGTGGGGTGGAAGTTGTTGAAATTCTTGTGAAATTCTTCAATAGTCTCTTTTTCCATGGGTCCAGATGATGATGTCCTTGATGTAGCGTAAGTAAAGTACCAGTGTTAGGGGACGGGAGCTGAGGAAACGTTCAAGGTCAGTCACAAAGATGTTGGCATATTGTAGTGCCATGCGGGTGCCCATGGCTGTGCCGCTGACTTGAAGATACAAATTGTCTCAAACGGAAGTAGTTGACAAAGTTGCAGAGTTCTGTAACTAGGTGTGCAGTGCTGTTATTGGGGATGGTGTTCCTGATGGTCTGTAATCCGTCTTCAAGTGGAATGTTGGTGTAAAGGGCTTCTACGTCCATAATGACTAGGATGGTATTTTCAGGTAGAATACTGATGTTTTGAAGTTTCCTCAGGAAGTCGGTGGTGTCGCGGAGGTAGCTAGGAGTGCTGGTAGCATAGGGTCTGAGGAGGGAGTCAACATAGCCAGATAATCCTGTTTAAAGTGTGCCAATGCTTAAGATGATGGGTCATCCGGGATTTCCAGGTTTGTGTATCTTGGGTAGCAGATAGAAAGCTTCTGATCAGGGATTAGGGAGGGTGTTGGTGTAAACTTGTTCCTGAGCAGCGTCAGGGAGCTTCATGAGCAGTTTTTCAGGTTTTTTTGGGGTATTGCTTAGTGGTATCACAGGAGAGGGGCTTGTAGAATCTGGTATTGGTGAGTTGTCTGGTTGCCTCCTGTTCATAATCTGGTCTGTTCATGATGACTACAGCGCCTCCTTTGTCAGCCTCTTTGTTTTTGAAGCTGTGTATAGCATTGCGTTCTGCATGACTGAGGTTATATGTTGTTTGCTGACCAGGTCAGCTCGAGCATGTTTGCAGAAGCAGTTGATGTAGAAATCAAGACTCTCTCATTAGGACCATTAGTGGGAGTCCATATAGAAGCTTTCCTCTTATGGGATCGGCGGGGGGGAGCGGCAAGGTCAGTGTGGTGTACGTTGGTGGGCTGGAAGTATTCCTTCAGGTGGAGGCAACACAAATAGGATTCCAGATCCCTGCAGAACTGAATCATATTCGTAGGGGTAATGGGGCAGAAGGAGAGTGCTCGAGAGCCCAGCACAGGAATCTGTCCTAAGAGTGGTTGATAATGATGTTGGGTGAGTTGCAAGTATCTAGAATGAGAGATCCTGAGGCATGTAGCAGTTTGGATAGTTTATTGTCCTTTTTCTTCTGAAGGGCGATCAAGTGGTCCTTGTAGGCAGTGATCCCTGTAGGTGGCTTGCTGAATTGTAGTAAAGTCTGAAAAGATTAAATGCATCTGGAGGCTTGTTTTTTTATGACAGTTTCTAATGTTGAGAACTCCTCCTTGATTTTTTTCTGTTTATTGTATAGAATGCTGATAAGGTGATTCCTTAGTGTTTTTGCAAGTGTGGGGCATAATCTCTGGCTGTAGTGCATGGAATATGTAGACTGTAATGGGTTTTTCATCCTTAAACCCTTAGGTATGATGTTCATCTGTTTGCACTTGGAAAGAAAGATTATGTCAATTTGGATCTGTGCAAGTTTCTTTGTGTAGTTGATGGATTTCCACTGCATACGGGTGAATGCAGTGCCTTGCATGTTCAAAAGCTTCAGGGGGTTAGTCTGTACAGGATAAACTTAAACAACAAATAGTTTGGTAGCACTTTAAAGACTAACAAAACATGTAGATGGTATCATCTGTTTTTGTGGGCACAGCCCACTTCTTCAGATGACCAAAGTGGTGGATGTCCAGAACTAAATAAATATGGGAGAAAGGGGTGGGGTGGAGGGGGCGACAGCAAGGAAGGTTTAGGTTTGACATTACGAAAAACTTCCTAACTGTTAAGGCGGTTAAACACTGGAATAAATTGCCTAGGGAGGTTGTGGAATCTCCAACCTGCTCTTAAATATCTCCAGAGATGGACAGACATCTAAAAGAGATGATTCTGGATGGTGCTTGATAACCCCTCGAAGTCCCTTCCAGTTTGTATATTTTACAGGCTCATAGAATACTAGTAGTGGTGGTTACAGCAATTGAGACCTTTTTTAAAAAAAGGTCTCAACAGAACTGTTGTGTGTCTCATAGCTGGAGACTTTCAAAGATTTCTACATCAAGCATGTACAAGGAACATATATGCAGATGGTTCCTTCATCTGCACAGAGAGTGGCTGATCCAGTGGTTAGGGACCTAGGAGACCTATTATTCCACCACAGACATTTCATGGGATCTTGGGCAAATTATTTACTGTCTTGAATGTGCCTCAGTTTCTTCATTTTACAGATGGGGATAATAGCACTTCCCTGCCTCAGTTTCGGTGCTGTGAGAATTAAAAAGATTGATCTGCTCCATTACTACATTTAATTAGCATAATTTAAGAACGTGGCTTAGATCGCTATTCTCCTGCAGTTGGGAGTGATTTACATCTCCCCGTGAAATGCAACAGAAATCTTTAAATGGAGGAAGAATTTGCTTTCAAAACATGCCTCTTTACAGAAGGGAAACTGGAGACTGTTCAGTTGTATCATGCGGAGCATGAGCAGTGGTAGCCAGAGTTGGCACTGCATGGAGAGCTCTACAGTCTAGTAGTGGGCGCTCTCTAAATTATGCAGGAAGGCAAGAGTTGCTTTGCCTGTTGCAAATAAGAATGTCCTGCTATCCAACAAGCTTTGGTTTCCCAACCAAGAGCTCCTGTTTTGTTGTGTTGATGCCTGGTGTGATCCAAGTGCTTTTGGGATATAACTTGCAAAAAAGACGCAGCAGCAATTGGGTTATAACTGATCAAGGTTGGATGACTAGAAAGTGGCAGTTGAAGCTTTTCCAGGTTTGAATGTCGGATCTTCCTCCCACAGTTCTTGCCACATTCAGGGGATCGGATCCTCATCACAGGGGCTGCAGACTCCAAGGTGCATGTTCATGACTTGACTGTCAAGGAAACCATCCATATGTTTGGCGACCATACCAACAGGGTGAAGCGTATTGCTACTGCTCCTATGTGGCCCAACACGTTTTGGAGCGCAGCCGAGGATGGGCTAATCAGGTACGACGTTTTGGTGCTTGTTCCGGGGAGTGCTGTAAGATCTCTATCAGAGTAGTCATGTTGAGCTGTCATAGATTCCTTTAGTTCACTCAATTCTCTGTCCCTTCTGGTTGGGTTAGCACTGGGGCTGGCATAGCTCAATTCATAAATGGAGGAACTTTGGTTGGATTTACCCAGTGTTGCTCAGGTCCTTACATCAATTCATTCTTTTGGGCCTTCTTAGGGGGTGATTTTCTTCTTCTTTCTTTTTCTAATTTTTAAAAAAAAAGTGCTTGCTTCATTTGAATCCTAGCTCTGGGGTGGGGTTGGGGATGACCGGTTCAGTATGCAGGCTGCCCTGGGGAGAGAGGATTACCTTAGCTGTCCCACTGCAGCAGCTTTGGGGCAGGTTAGAAGTGCCTCTCCATGACTGCTGCAGCTCCTGCAGGCCCAACCAGGGGAGGAGTGCATGTCCCCCAGCTGGGGCAGGTCCAGGTTCATCTGCCCCCTGCGCTCCCCAGCCAGGGTGAGGAATGCAGCAAACTTTGCATGTCCCCTCACTCCCTGATAAAGCCAGAATGTTCCTGTATGAATCAGTGTGTGGTAGGGAGGAGCTTCAGCCCTCCCCCCCCCCCCCCCCCCCCCCCACCTTTCCTAAAGGTTGCCTGGGGCATGGGAGGCTCAGGCAGTCTCTGATGGAGGGGGAGTCTGTCTCTTCTGTATGGTTTTATGAGAAACAGTCCCATTCCAGGCACATCCCATTTTCCTGGCACAACCAAACCTTTACCTTGCTTTAAATATTGATAAGAGGCAGCTGATTACCGAATGTGGTGGTCCTGGCTCTTACCATTAGGAGGAGTTCTTGAACAGGCACCAGGGGCAGCCCTAGACTAGCTGCCAGCAACTGGTGTCCTAGGTAAAGCATGCAATCGGCACCCTCACCTCCAAACCCCTCAATGATATCACGCCACCGTTTGGTGCCCCATTTAACTTGGCACCCTAGGCAACCGCCTAATTCACCTATATGGACAGGCCGCCCCTGACAGGCACGCAAGTTCTTTCAAATATCTAGTAGATTTGTGTTGCCGTGTCATGTAGGAATGCTAGTCACTGACCAGGACCCCACAGCGGTTGGCATTGTACTCAACACAAAGTTGGTCTTGCCTCAAGAAGTTTACAGTTAAGTATTAGATGGACAAAAGGTGGGGGGGGAGTACAAGGGAAGCAGTGAGACAATACTGGTGGTAGGGCAGTAGCCTCAGTACACCAGGTGAGGAGGGATTGAAGGGTGGCTGATGAGGTAGCTCTGGGGCCCTCCTCATCTAGAACAAAAGGGGCAGCAAGGGAGGGGAGCCAGCACAGAGGTGCTTGTTTGTTTGAAAAGTTAACAACTGGACAATGGAGGCTGGTGTTGAGGGCCAGTTAGTGTGTGTGCAGATCCCAGCACAAAGGGGCCTGAACCTGGTTAGCCTCTAGGCACTACAGTAATATTAAAAACCAAAGTCACAGCCTCTCATTCACTGGTGAATGAGACACAAGTAGGGTTGGGATTCATTGTGGAGATCCGTGAAAGTGAGGGTATGTCTACACTGCATCCCTAGTTCGAACTAGGGATGCAGTGTAGACATACCCTGAGATACTTCCAGTTAAAGGGGAGGCGGTGGAGGGCTTCAGAGACAGGTGATATGAATGGCTCGAAAAATTTCCTTGGCAGCAGTATTCCCCACGGATGTGAATGGGGCAAGGTTGTGTTTTATCAAGAAAGATCAGAACTCAGATTAGAGGCGAACGAGAGGCCGTGTCTTCGATTTTTAATATTACTGTAATGCCTAGAGGCCAACCAGGTTTGGGCCCCTTTGTGCTGGAATCTGCACACGCCTACAATGAAAGAGATTGGCTTAAAGCAGTGGACTCCAACCTTTTTACACCCAAAATCACTTTTTAAATCTCAGAACAGGCGAAGATCTATCGCCTTGCCCCTTCCTTGAAGCCCCGCCCTCTCTATTCTCCTCCTGTCCATCACTTGCTATCCCCAGCCCTTACTTACACACTCTGATAAACCGTTTACTTTTAAATTATGCGATATATAAAATTAAAATCACCTGTTTATAGTTATGAAATAAATGGTCTGGTTTTTATTCATGATATTTAAATCTAAAATGAAGCATTTATAATTATACATTTTGTGGGGACAGAGTTCTGCGGCTGGGGGCAGGGGAGAGGAAACAGGGTGCTGGGAGGGCAGGGGACAGGGTTCTGCAGCAGTGGACAGAGTGCCAGTGGGGACAGGTTTCTGCAGCTGGGGACAGGGTGCGAATGGGGACAGGAATAGGGACAGAGTTCTGTAGCTGGGGAGGGGGGACAGCGTTCTGTGGCTGGGGACAGGGGAGGGGGGACAGCATTCTGTGGCTGGGGGGGGGGGGGTGGGGGGGGGGGGGGCCGTGGAGGAC